TGTCGAGAGTTCGAGACTGTGTACACATGTTATGTATACATACAATTTACATGCATATTTCGACAAACGCGTGAATGACGCACGTGCAGAAAAACGCCGCGATCGATTGGAACCGGTAAGCTCACTGGAGTACTGGACTCGCTATACTAGTATATACGAGACTACATCGCGATCGCGGATTCACGGTATTCCGTATTCGACGTTCACGGTTCACTTCGAAAATATCAACAGTATATCAAACTTAAGCAAGTTTAAAGGCCGGTCTCACCAACTCTGAAGGCCATTGCACGTAAAAGTCGTAGTCGTAATCATAAGACCGTAAAAAGCGATAAATTGATTGGCTACTGCGTCGGGGCCAAGCATTGTCGCGTTTTCTACGCAGAAGCAATACGAGAGAAACGTCATAACCTCAAAGCCACGATCATAGACGCAAGTTTTCGTCCCGTCAAAAGATTGCGATTAATGCCTTATCCTTATGACTAATCGGAAGACAGTCACGTGACTTACCGCTTGCCCCGTAGCCTATCAATTTATCGCTTTTCATGGGCTTACGGTTACGACTAAAGCCCATGGCACATACAAAAACGTAAGGCCGTAAGGGTGAAATCACACGGTGTGGAAAAAGACTGCGGAATAGAGAATGTGTCATTGAAGCAACCAATCAACGCTATTCAGCTGTCACGTCTGCGGCATTGTTAAGTTTTCGTCCAGAATTTTCGCTTCCTGTAAATTGGCGTAGTACATGAGACCGCCAGGACCGTACCTGACGCCTTCCCCACCACGCGTGCCTCAGCGGAGTAACGATGGAAGGGGACGCCCTTAAGTTCTTCCCTCAAGGCACAAAATAGACAGCAGTCGTTAAGTAGAGTTCGTTAAGAGTCGTTCTTTAAGTAACAGTCTTAGAGTCGCGAGTCCGGGTCCAGAGGACCTCCGAGGACATGTAAACCTTTTGACCTTAAGCTTTCACGTGTTGCGTGCACTTTTCAAATTCTTCATCCAAGTCTAGAATAATTCTAATTCTAATTTTAAGCGTAATTCAATTCCCGCGTTAATGTAAATCATCCTTAATATTAAGCCAAAATGTTTAACCTTTGATTGTGTGTGAAGCTATAAATAATAAATTCATGTGGTTTGTTAAATCCGAGTAAAATTTCTGAATAAAACCTCCTCCATAATCCGTCGCGTTAAATCATACGAACACTTTAATTAATGAAACTCGGTCGCGTGTCAAACCGCAACCCAATCACCATGGACTCGGGAGGACCAATGGCAGAGCTGAGACACTAGGGAAGTTGGAAGCCGCCCGCACTCATTCTATCTCGACTCGTCATCGCCATCCAGAATTCATCAAAAAGGTAAGAAATTATTAACTAATCTGTTTCGATCACGACGAGCCGCGAATCCGATCCCGCGTAGCATGTGTCCGGTACACCC